CCTTCCCTGCTTTTTAAGTCCTCATCTCTGCTACCTGTAGCTAAAACGATGCTTTCTACTCCGCCTGAGTGAAGCAGACCACTTCCTTCTGGTTTCTATAGTTAATGGTGGTTGTGGACTGTTGTTGTTGTTTGGGTATTTTCATCACCCGTGACTCCTATATGTTCGCTTAAAGTCCTGTTTTTTCGTATCCTACGGTCTATCGTGTGATCCAGCTCACCCCAGTCAGGAATACCAGCGGTTATAGTAGGAATTCTTATCTTACTCCTGTCTTCAATTCAGAAGTTTCTCTGACTTTCCTTTGTGAATTGCTCAGCATGTGTCATCACCATATGGGTGCTGGTTTGTGGTACCCTGTGGTGTTGAGGTAGTCACTGAAGAACTGTCATTCTAGGGTGCAGTGATGATGCGAAGCGTTGCAACTTGATCCGAGCACGACTTATTTTACTTTATTCTAGCTTGTTTCAACAGAAGTTTTGCATCTGCAACATCTCTGAATCTTCCAGGATGTTGTGCCCTGATATTTTGCTTGGGGAGAACAGGAGTGTGATATGGTGCCACTGCTTGCATACACTTCAGTTATCACTCATTGCCAGTTTGACAATATGGCCTTGATTTAAGTCTGTGGGTATCTTGCGCTCCTTCCACATAAGGCGATAGTAGCTTGAGAAACTCCGTTGCACTTTCTGGGTCCGTTTTCAGAGAGATTCTATTTCGTCGTATTGCTTTCTCGCCCGGGTTTTTAGTGACTTTGTGGGCCTCAAGACTTCCGTTTTTATAGAAGAAATGGCATTCACTGGAAGTACTTTTCTGGACGAGATGTGGCTGGTGGCCCACTCAGGAATCCTTCGGTGTGGTAAACTCAGCGTCCCCTTTGTTCCGCCTCTCATGGTAACGGTAAATATTCTCCCGAAATCGTAAGTCTGCTGTATCCTTCATTAAAGATTCGGTGCTGACCTTCACTATTTAAGTCGACTTGTTAATCTGAAGGTGCACTGTCCTGTTACGTTCGGTAGTTCGTGAGCAGTTCCTATTAAATTAAGGATTCATAATCGCTCTACTTTCTTGAAATATGTCTCTTATTTTGGACGGTCGGTTTGCTGTTTTGATTTATTCTTACTTGGAAAGTTGGGGGAATGGACACTTGCATTTGCATATCGCGCATTTTGTGTAACAGTTGGCACGCATCGTTTCTTATACTGGCTCTCTCCCATTATCGTTGAAGGGTTTCATCTACATTGATAGTTTCCTGTATAAAGACCCGGTTATTTACAATATGGTTTTTACGTCTGTCCAACCTTAGGCCTCCTCTGATTCAGTAAGAGTATCTTTTATATTCATAAAATGTTGGACTTAGTTGCGAGGGACGCACAAATCAGTACAAACGCGGTGATCATGAATATTGCTGGACCACGTTAACGATGTATACAACAGCTACGTGATTTCCCAGTCTCACTGCTTAAGCAAGAATACGCAAAGAAGTGAGACGGAAAGTATGTTTACATAAGGAAATGATATATAAAGGGAATTAGGAAACGAAGATTAGATACGTGGGTCAGTGAAGTAGGTGTGAGAAGAGACAATCTATTCTGTGTCTCTCTAGGTATGAGACAGCTGATTGGTCCGCCATCCAAACAAGCTATCGTTCCTTATATCAGTGTCATTACTACCACTCTACTTTTCTTTTTTGCTCTATGGTTTGCACACTATACTCACCTCCTCCTTTTGCTGTTCATCTTTGCACTGGTTCATCTCCTTCACTGATCTATGATTTTCTGGCCATATGAGGATAGCCCTTCCTTTTCTCGTCTCTTCTTAGTGGATAAAATGTCCACACAAGACTTTTAGTAAAATAGACAACGTTCGCTTCCATGATCTTTATACTGGACGTAGTATTACGTTAGAAAGTAAGAGATTACCTATCATTTCTAGCAAAGTGGAGAATATTTTAGTGGGATATGTTCGTAAATTCAAATGAAAATATCGTGTTGAACAATAAACACACTTCTTCTCTCACTTTGATAGTCTAGCTGGTAACTGTTGCCCAGAATTTATATTCGGTCAACTCATTGGATGAGGTTAACACATCTAAGAAAAAGAACAATTTAGCGCCAAAATATCCTTCTCAGATTGTTATGTTCTGTTATTTAAGCTAAATGTTGTGGTGATTCAAATTCAGATCACATGTAATCTCATCTACAGATAAAAGTACAAAGTGATTTTGAAAAACTCACTCGGAACTGCGAAAATACGGAAATTAAGAACAACCATTATTTCACTTCAATGGCAATAAAATTCCATGCAAACGAAAGGAGAAATAAAAACTGGTAACTGAATACACAGATATTCGCGCAAACACTGTCTTCATGTACACGAAGTGAAATTTGATCAAAGATAAAGAAACAAACAAATACAATATAAAACATCACTAGCTCTGTATTTCTAAGTAACAAGACGGGAAAAGATTTTTATAAATAGACCAAATGCTTTTAAAGAGCGTCTAATGTAAGGCTGGTTTTAGAAGTACTACTGTGTACTAAAGATGATTCCCATTATAACACTATAGTACATCAACGTTTTCACATCCTACGATGTGCTAACTCTGTACACGGCCCAAGACGAACAACGTTGTACTAAGAAGCACAAGTAAAAACCTGAAGAGATGTATTAGTAACGAAATTTAATTTCAGAGGGTGCGAGGCGAACAAAAAAGTGTACATCCGCGTAAAATACATGTATCAAAATGAAAAGCAATGTTCAATATTACAACGGCGAATATTCGAGAATCATGTGTAAAAATGTTTTCTGCAAGCGTATAATATGCGTACGTGAATAAGTTTTGTAAACGTACAGTTAGAGTCAAGATAGGGACGCTACAGATCATGTAGGCATGTTATTTATCGTTCTAATACCAGAAAGCACTGTAAGTTCAGAAATCCAGAAATTAATATCGAGGGGACTGAATGATAACTAGATAAAATCATCAGCCGACGACAAATACAAGTTATATTTCACCATATCTTTCGTCACGAAATCACCTCAGTGGTAGAATCAATGAACACTAGTGGGCAAAAGGGAGCTGCCTCACCGCCAGAAGCCACATTCCATGGCTCTTTGAAGCACTTCCAACTTTCTTTCATTCAGTTTTGTTAAGGCATAATAGTATATTTCTTCCTGTTTATGCAGGAACATACCAATTGTACAGGCATGGATAAGTTGTTATATAAATTACACATAATTTCATGCATGATGAATTTACAGTTTGGTTGTTCTTTCTGACATTAGAGTCAGTCGGAACATTCTGCTATAAAGTCTGTTTGTGTAGCACATAAAGAGATATAGAAATGTTGTCTTCGCATTAACAAAAAACCCAGACATCAGATGAATGTAGTACAAATATCTGGGAAAAATAAAGCTTGAAGTCAATTCTCCTATATAACTTTGTTGTGAACAGCACCCTTGGCTTAAAGATTTTTGATGTATTATGTTGAGATCAGTGATATATTTATTCCATTTTTTCAGCAGTCTTATCGTAGTTGTATAGCAGGAAAGAAATTTGATCGTGGATGTGAAAACTAGATAAGGTCATGTTGGGTTGTTTTACTGCTTCAAATGGTGCCGAGGTCGATTCCAGAATTCTCGATTTGCGCCATTTGTGTCTGCAGGCAGCCTGTAGACGGCCGTAGGTCATTTGATCAGCTGATGGATATTGGCGTTATTTTTGGAAAAGACGTCAAGGTCAGGTCATTTTTCGTTGTTTTACACACTTTTTTACCTATATTCCAGTTAAAAGTTGATGAAATACGGCGTATTTAGCAGGAATAGGCAATGCTGTTGTTCTTATCCGGCCGTAGCTTACAGGCAGTTTACGGTTTGTTGAAAAAACGTACTTTTCCGTTCAGAATATGTCGAATTACTTGAAGACACATGTTATAACGACCATTTCGTGAATTTTTTTCGCATTTTAATGGATTACACATGGACATGATGAGGTGGGATAGCTCGTTTAGGTAATTATTTCAATTATTTTGTTGTGTACTTTTCCTAATGCTTACAAGGCTGCTACACATGTATTTCTTTAAGAAAAGTCTGCAGAAATACTTAGAAATTATGTACGCATAGTATTTCCTCATGTTATGGCATAAACTTGACGTTTGCAGACAGATGCAATATCGATTTTGTATTATTGAAAAATGTTTACTGACGTATTTATATATAATTCAACTAATTATTTCGTCATTTCAAACATATTTAATGGTTAATTATTTCGTTTACACTGATAATAATGTCTACATGTGTATAATTCTTATGTTCTTTTTCAGATAATATCTACTTTCGGGAATTTCATGGATTTGGGTGATAAAGAAAAAGATACCTGCACTGTTGTCGATTTTGTATTACATGTTAATTCATTAATAAATGTATTCCTCGTTATTCGTTTGTTTATTCTACTTGATAAGACCGAATATTAGCCCTTGCGTAATTTGTGAGGTATAGAGTATATGAGACTATCTTTGAAATCCTAAGTAGAAGCAGATATTCGGAGAAGCCTATTGGTAAAAGATTATGTTGTAGTCAAATAAAGTAAACATGTCTAAATCGTAGAGGAGGTATTGCGATTATGAAGCGTTTCGAGTTATCTATCGTCTTAGCAGAATACATATAATGATTCGCGATTCATAGTCACGAAGTGAGAGTAAATCTACCTGAGATAGTTTGCTTGTGATTTCTGCATGTCGCAGTGTACCATAAGGACAGACTATACCTATGCTGTTAGATGTATGCCTCAGTGCAACTACGGTTATCGTAATAATTAAAAACAGAATGCCTAAGGTCCTCGGCCACGGAACACGGTACGTTGCTATCTACTCATATAATCACGTAAACAAAAGTCTTCCAGACGCCGCATTTACTCCTAACAGCTTACCCTCAACTTCTAACTTAGCACGTGTTACTTATGTTACTGGAACACAATCGCATTACAACAGAAGGAACACAGATTCATTGACAAATTGTTTATTAAACAAAAATCAGATTTCAAATGTACAGATAATTCAGATGAGTAGTCCTATGTTACCGTCAGTAAGTTCCATCTGCGTACACGGCACATATATGTTTTTCCATAAGTCTGAAAAGGTATAAGAAAAGCATAATTAACTTGGGTATTAAATGTATGACGTGAATAAAAAATTTTTCCTGATAAGCACTTACAAGTAATCACTTTACAAACAATATATATATATAAGTAGCCCAATAGTTTTCACTAAACTTAAGGGACTTCGCAACTTATCGTTGGTCGATATCTAGTAGGTCCATCGAAGCATCATGAAATGATAAAATTATTTAACGACAAGTTATGCAGTAGTTTTCAAAGTTTGTACAAATATTTTAGCAAAAATGACAACGACTTTATGACAAATGATAGGTCTTGACAGCAATAATAATAACATTCATGATCATAGTGACTATAAAAAACAATAATAGGTATTATTATCGCAACGAATTCATCATTAACTTAGATAGACAACTAATAATAATACAACCATACCAAATAAATTTATCACTTAATCTTAAGAAGCATGTGTTTACTTACTTTCACTGTATTCTATCAATACTGATGTGCTCAACCAGCTTATTCCAACTGAATTTAAGATTAATTCTGAAAGTGAGTGAAGATCCAGTTTATGTCAAATAAAAACATGTACCTTACATGTATTACACTGCTTACTGAGACACCTGATACCTGCTTTCCTATCTTCATGACAAGAACACAGATTATCTAGGTTTACTTACATATACATAAGTATACGTATATGCTGCATCAACCATGCCGTTTTTATCATGATTAACCAGACCACTGTGTATATTATACTTATTTAAGGATCTCTGAAGACAATGGTCGAGCGATAATTGAATTGGCGTGAAGTTATTACCTCTTCAGAACACTGTTTGCATTCTTCACACTCCTGAGAAGTCCTTAGATCTTAATTCGGCATAAATTCGTTGAATTCATCAAATAAATCCACTGCTATATGATTTTTCTCCTGAGCTGTAGTAGTTTGTGTTGTCAGTTATCTATCCCATTCGATAAAACGCTCCTGGAAATTCAGAACTTAACCAAGCAGCAAAATGACGTTTGAAATTACCTCAACTCGAATGACAAACTGGCCAATCACAAGCGAGCAAATCGCTTGTTTATCTCATTCGCGGTCACTCAAAATTACGGCCGTCTACAGGCTGCCGTGTCTGCATGGCGGACTGTATTCGGGCAGCCTGTAGACGGACGTAGGTCATTTGATCAGCTGATGGATATTGGCGTTGTATATTGGAAAAACGTCAAGGTCAGGTCATTTTTCGTTGTTTTTCACACTTTTCTACCTATATTCCTGCTAAAAGTGGATGAAATGCGGCCTATTTAGCAGAAAGAGCATATGGTGGTGTTCTTATCCGGACGTAGGTCACAGGCAGTTTACAGTTTCTTGAAAATAACGTATTTTTCCGTTCAGAAAATGTCTAATTACTTGAAGAAATATGTTATAAAGACTTTTTGTGAATTTATTTTGCAGTTTAATGGATTACGCATGGACATGATGAGGTGGGACAGCTCGTTTTGGTAATTATTTCAGTTACTTTGTTGTGTACTTTGCATAAAATGCTGACAAGGCTCCTCCACATGTATTTCCTTAATAAAAATCTGCAGAAATACATAAAAATTATATATGCATAGTATTTCCTTATATGATGGCATAAAGTTGATGTTAGCAGGCAGATGGAATATCAACTTAGCATTATTGAAAGATGTTGACTAACATAATTATTTACAGTTGAAATCATTATTTTGTCATTTTAAGCATATTTCATGGTTAATTATTGTGTTTACACTGATAACAATGACTACATCTGTATAATTCTTATGTTCTTTTTCAGATAATATCTTCTTTCGGGAATTTCATGGATTTGGGTGATAAAGAAAAAGATACCTGCACTGTTGTCGATTTTGTATTACATGTTAATCCGTTAATAAATGTATTCCTTGTTATTCGTTTGTTTATTCTACTTGATAAGACCGAATATTAGCCCTTGCGTAATTTGTTAGGTATAGAGTATATGAGGCTATCTTTGAAATACTAAGTAGGAGCAGATATTCGGAGAAGTCTATTGGTAAAACATTATGTTGTAGTCAAATAAAGTAAACATGTCTAAATCGTAGAGGAGGTATTACGATTATAAAGCGTTTCGAGTTATCTATCGTCTTAGCAGAGTACATATACTGATTCGCGATTCCTAGTCACAAAGTGAGAGTAAACCTACCTGAGATAGTTTGCTTGTGATTTCTGCATGCCGCAATATACCATAAGGAGAGACTATACCTATGCTGTTAGATGTATGACTCAGTACAACTACGGTTATCGTAATAATTAAAAACAGAATGCCTAGGGTTCTCAGTCAAAGAACACGATACGTTGCAATCTGCTTATATAATCACGTAAACAAAAGTTTTCCAGACGCCGCATTTACTCCTAACAGTTTACCCTCAATTTCTAACTTAGCACGTGCTACTTATGTTACTGGAACACAATTGCATCACAACAGAATGAAGACAGACTCATTGAAAAATTGTTTATTAAACAAAATCAGATTTCAAATGTACAGGTAATTCAGATGCGTAGTCCTATGTTACCGTCAGTAAGTTCCATCTGCGTACACGGCACATATATGTTTTTCCATAAGTCTGAAAAGGTATAAGAAAAGCATAATTAACCTGGGTATTAAATGTATGACGTGAATAAAAAATTTTTCCTGATAAGCACTTACAAGTAATCACTTTACAAACAATATATATATATAAGTAGCCCAATAGTTTTCACTAAACTTAAGGGACTACGCAACGTATCGTTTGTCGATATCTAGTAGGTCCATCGAAGCATCATGAAATGATAAAATTATTTAACGACAAGTTATGCAGTAGTTTTCAAAGCTTGTACAAATGTTTTAGCAAAATTGACAACAATTTTATGACAAATAATAGGTCTAGACAGCAATAATGATAGCATTCATGATCATAGTGACTATGAAAACAATAATAGGTATTATTATCGCAACGAATTCATCATTAATTAGATAGACAACTAATAATAATACAATCATATCAAATAAATGTATCAATTAATCTTAAAAATCATGTGTTTGCTTACTTCCGCTGTATTCTCTCAATACTGATGCGCTCAACCAGTTTATCCCAACTGAATTCAAGATTAATTCTGAAAGTGAGTGGAGATCCAGTTTATGTCAAATAAAAACATGTAGCTTACATGTATTACACTGCTTACTGAGACATCTGGTATCTGCTTTCCGATCTTCGTGACAAGAACACAGTTTATCTAGGTTTACCTACATATACAAAAGTATATGTATATGCTGCATCAACCATGCCGTTTTTATCATGATTAGCCAGACCACTGTGTATATTATACTTATTTAAGGATCTCTGAAAATAATGGTCAAGCGATAATTGAATTGGCGTGAAGTTATTACCTCTTCAAGACATTGTTTGCATTCTTGACACTCCTGAGAAGTCCTTAGATTGTAATTTGGCATGAATTCGTTGAATTCAGCAAATAAATCTACTGCTATATCATCTCTTTCCTTAGCTGTAATAATTTGTGTTGTCAGTTATCTCTCCAATTTGATAAAACGCTCACGGAAATTAAGGACCTAACGAAGCAGCAGAATGATGTTTGAAATTACCTCAACTCGAATGACAAACTGGCCAATCACAAGCGAGCAAATCGCTTGTTTATCTCATTCGCGGTCACTCAAAATTACGTCCGTCGACAGGCTGCCCTGTATTCGTAGGCAAGGGATAAAGGCACACACGGGTTGTTGTTAGGTGTCATCGCGCAGTTGTGTTTTGGTAGTTCTACGTTGTTTTGAGGTGTTTTTTCAACGGAAAAACATTTTCAAAGCCATATTTTAACAGGAAAGGCTGTAAAAATGATGGATAATGCACGGTTTTCAGCAGTTTGGGTGAACACGTATTTTTCATGAAATTTCTGCGTATCTTTGTATATGGGATGTAAACATTTGGCTTAAATTGTTGATTTCGTTTAAAAAACCGAGAAAAATACGTAAATGATTTTTTTTTGCGAAATTCTGATTTGATGTATTGAATGTCTGATTTCTGACAATTTAGTAACAGTAAGAAAAGATTTCACCTGTAAAGGAGTGTTACATGAATTATTCGTAATATAACACTGTGGAAAGAAAGTTTCTACTAAGATATCTTTTGGTTTTTTGCATTTTCGTATTGGTAAGTATATGCTAACATAAGTAACATAGTTTTCTGTTTTTAGGTTACAGGTGTAATGGTTCACTTGATTAAACAGCTTTGCTGAAGCATAATAGAATAATTGTCTTGTGAAAGTTGAAATTTTTGCAGTATTATAAAATTCTTAATGAAAATAAATACTTACTAAAAGTTGTTACGGTGTTCTTCTAATACTTGTTCACTGTGGTTGTTGAAGGAGTAGTGATGTAGCCGGTTATGGAATGCGTAATAATAGTTTACTTTGAAATAGTGGTAATTAGCGCAGCACAATGTAGATATAATATACCAACTAAAAAAAAGCAATTCACGTGACCAGAAAATTTAAATTCCTAGTCAATATAAAACGGTCAATACATCTGGAAAGATGGTAACCGGGAGACGCAATTGTATAACGTATGTCGACATTGAAATACGTATAAATGTTATTTTGGATTTGCGTATTCGTCCTACATTAGTTATTATAAATATGCAGTGATTGCATAAGAAACATAAGGTGAACGTATACTTCTCCGGTAGCCCTGTTGGAAGATGATGTTTAACGCATTCTGAAATCAAAAACCTTAACATTTGCACTCACATTCAGAGTAATAACGGTCTACGAGTTTAAGTTTTCTTTCTAAAAGGCTAACTGCATGCCTACATGTACTATGCGCAAACGGAATAAATGTAACTGATCTGTTGTACGCACATAATGACAAAGAACGGCTTAAAAATAAGGCAGCATTTTACAAGACGATTACTACATCACCTGCAATTCTCCTTAACGATTAATCATTTGCGACAAGATGAATAGAAGACAGATAGTGAGTGAATAATAATTTCTGTATTGAAAAATAATTGAGAATAACTGTATGGAAAATGGCAAATTACAAAAATAGTTTCAGTAGAAAAATAAAGGTCATTAATTATCTGTATGAAAGGCATCTGGAGGGCGCTCTATTGTTTCGAAGCAAACCTGAAAGTTGTATTCCCGTGACCATCTTTGGCTGTATTGTAATATATCTAATGGGATATGAATGTAATGTACATGAATTGATCTTACCCCCAGTGAACAATCCCACGGAGTAGGCATACAGGATATGCGAACAAGGAAGTTGGTAGTCATGGAAGTGGTGACACCCGCATACACCATTAGAAATGTCAACTAAGTTGAAGGCCACTCCGTCATAGCAATCAATTAGGTTGCTGCTGATTACCGAGTGATGAATACGTCCAACCCTTTGGTAATCTTTGAAGACTAATTTAGCAGCATACGGCGTTAATTTGTCCAAGTGCACATGAATTAACTGTGGAGCCTACAAAGGGTATAATAATGAAGTTATACTTACATCATATTGACGAAATCTCTGCAATGTTAACAGCGTGTCATACTGTCGAAGGCGCCAATAATTCTTTGCTTTGTTATAAACTTTCCTTAAGGTTAGCACTAGTGGGTCATTCCGTCGAAGGTGCAACTTCAGGTGCTTGTGAGCACTCTCAACCCTGTTGTTCGTTCCGTTACCCAATGTCATGTATTTCCTCCTGAAGCATCTAGCCCACATTCTCCTGTTATTCATCCAGTGTCCATTTAAATATTGGTATGCTTGAGGGAATTCATGCCGAATGTATCTGTAATAATAGTTAAATCTTCAGAATTCACTAATTGGTAATTCACACGTCATTTACCTTTCTCTAAAACGCGTTGAAAGCATTCTTCGTAGTGCGAACCGTGCATCACTATTCCGAAACTACACAGTAATCATGAATTGCAGTCAAATACCTTCCGACTAAACGCTCGCAGCACATGAAATGAGCAAAGAACTATCCTGCAATGTGGAAACACTTGTTGCACCGAGGAGATTTCCGCCTGACAATTATCCATGACAAATGTCCTCGTAGCATTGGTACATCCCATTATGGCTTTAAACATTTCAAGGACAAACGTGATATCTACCACAGTCTCCCTCTGACAGAAAGCAAACATAACACAAGCACCATTTCCACACCCATCTGTGGCGACTAACTGGAACAGACTGAAACTGCAGAAATTACACCAGTATCTGTAACTTACCCAACCTTATTGGTTTTGTACGTCGAATCAATGCAAATTACTTCCGGAAAACTTTGAAAAAATTTAATTTGTTGTTGCAGGCTGAAACATATAACATCAATCTGTCCATTGGAACTCTTCGTACGAACTTCACCTGAAGAGGATAACAGCTGTAGAACTTCAGCCATACTTTTCACACCTAGAATGAAGTTAACGAAATATTTCGTAATCTATATACCTCCAAACACTTCTTCTCTCAATTTTACTACATCCTTTCGAGATAGGAATTTTCCGAATTTCAAGAATACTGCGTCCCGCAGTTCAGAAGTTGACACCATATATTTAATCATACTATTTACTTGAGTCTTCTCATCCTCCGTTAACGAACGTCTGCTGCTGTCTACTATCATAAAATCTCTTGTACATGGATGATTATGTGCACCCTTCATTTCACCTACTTTCAGGCATCTATCAACTGAATTAACACAGAAAGTAGATGTACAACCCATACACTTAAAACTTATAAAAAAAACTGATAACTCATATATGCACTTACGGTTTTCCAGGCCTAAGCCCTTCGGACCGACTACGCCGTAATTGACCGGAGGTGCATACATAACTTACACGTTTATAGCGCAGAATACTATTATCATGATCTTTACGACTGCTTCTCACTACATACTGAGTATTTGCGAGCTTATTAAACTCTTTAAACGCTGCATAAAATTCATCCCAAGTTTTGAAATGTTGATATTTTGGCGAAGTTTAAGAATAGAGTCCCAAAACCTTCAACGCTCAAATGACCTTGAACGCATGCTAGTCGTTGGCTAACGGTTCCTGTCATTATCATAGCTGAAATATCAACCCTATTCATCAAATAAGGAGCAAGTTTCACCCAGATAACACTTTTATTACTGTTTGGACAATGTGTTAACATCTCGTTAGGGTTAGGATAGGGGTTAAGGCGAGTATTGTGGTTAGGGTTAGGGTTAGGTTTAGGGTTTAGGGTTAGGGTTATGGTTTAGGGTTTAGGGTTAGGGTTTGGGTTCAGGGTTAGGGTTTAGGGTTAGGGTTTAGGGTTAGGGTAGCGATTAGGAATAGATTTTTCGTTTATTTCAAGTTCTTTTGTTATCCTTATTTCCCTGGTATGTAGTCGCCAATGCTCTTACTGGAACCATAGTAACTAAACCGAGGGCTTAGGAGAGGACTACACAGCAAGAGAAGAGAGATGAACCATTCCCAAAACAACACACCTTCAGTCTCTTTGGTGAATACATCTACAGAAACTAGTCCAAATTAGCAACTGTTACTCTTCATCGCAACTGGAAAGTATTTTTAAGTCATATCAGAGAAATATAATCCGTTTAATGTTTTTTTCATGCATTTTTGTGTAAATATACGTTAAATTTTATGCAAAATTCCTCCTATTTTCTGATTTGTCGGCTCAAGGTCATTGTGCGTTCGCATCTCTTGGGACTCTATTCTTAAACTTTGCCGATATTTTAATATGCGGTTAAATATATCCACCACTACGTCATTCATCAATACAAAACAACCAACTTTCACCCCTCTTTCGGCAATTAACACTACTTACGTATTGCCGCCACGCATACGCAAACTTGAAATAACCAATCACAACACGCGGAAGTGACCTAGAAGTGCTCAGCCTCTCCATAAGGCCGTGTGTGCCCCATTATCCATTGCCGTATTCGTAAGTTGAGTAAAATGTTGAAAACTATTTGAAGACCAGTTGCTTCTTCATTTCAGATCATGAATACTCATTTACAGCATGTTCGCCAGCGTCTTCAAATGGTAGAATTGGATCGTTCATGGAATTTGAGTGGTTATGAGATAGATGGTTTGGAATTAATCCTCATTTCAGTTTAGATGCAGGGTTGTTCGACCTCGACCAGAAGATGAATAGGAGCAGCAGAATACCAAAAAGAGAAAGTATGTGAACATGAAAAGGACATTAATATTTCATGCATTATAAATGTTTATGACAATTGTATATTATACTTAAGTAAACGTTTTTCTATATTGTAGTTGTGTTTTCACGTATTTATGCGAAGTCTTAGAGTTTATTTAGTGTCATAATGTGTATTAATGAGTCTGAGCGTTTTAGTGTTCTAATGACTGATGCGTTTTAGAAATAAGTAATGGGTTCTGGTAGGGATAGTCTTTGGGATAAAACTTTATATAGCAAGCGTTTGAAGGTTACAATAGAGTGACAGGTCCTATTTCTAAGGGTAAACTAATCCTGTATGTTCCGTACTAAGTCTTTATGCATCCATGCTGCTAGTTTATTTATAGTTTTAGATTGCTAAGGGTGTTGAAGTGCGTCTTTTAGGTGCTGTAGTAGATTAGTAGTTGATTCGTTCTAGGAGTAAATAGTTTATTAATATAATCAGTAGAGTGAAACAGTCTGTATAGAGAGCGTTTGAAGCTTGTAACCGAAGAGCAAGTTCTGACATCTAGGGGTAGGCTATTCCATATTTTAGAATACATGACTGTGAAGAAGTTTTCACGGAGTGTTGACTTAAAAGAATGAGTTGTCACTGTGGAAGTTTGGTTACGCAGATCGTAAGAACCTTCCTGTGCGAATTGTATGTCCCTGTTACCTGAGAATGATATTTTGTGAAGGACCTTAAAGAAGAATATTAGGTTTATAATAAGTCGCCTTGTCCAAAGTGGGTCAAGTTTTAGGATCATGCACCGTGAGATGTAGTCTTTCTTACAATCGTAGCCAAGTAGTTTTGAGGTAAAATATCGTTGGATACTTTCCATCCTTAGCTTGTCACGTGTGCGAGTGCTGCTTATAATAAATGGACAGTATTCTAGTAGTGGTCTGACACATGTTTTGTACAGAATTAGCTTGGCTTCATTGTCGTGAAAGTTCCTGAGTATGCATCCTAAGAGCATCCTCGATTTTCTAGTCTGTGATGCTACTTGCTCAGAGAATGTCAAGTCACTAGAGTACCTCAGGCCTAGGTCAACGACACTTCGGAGTCTGGTTAGGTTAGCAGATTGGAGCGTTAATTTCAGGTCAATTGAGGGTGCACCGAAGCAGATCCAGCCACATTTGTTCAGATTAAATTGGAGATTCCATAGGGACGACCAAGCAGCCATTTTATCTAATTCCTTCTGCACTACATTCTCGAAGTTCCCTAAGTCATCACGTTGGAATGTATAAGCTACTTTTAGGTCATCTGCAAAGATGAATGGTTTCCCGTGCGTGAAGCAAGCGCATATGTCATTGATGTATAGTGTAAATAGGAGGGGTCCAATGACACTACCTTGTACTACACCAGAAGTGATAGGGCTAGGTTTGGAGGTTGCAGACCCGAGTTTAACTATTTGGGACCTATTGTTAAGGAATGATTTAAGCCATCCTAATAATGGGTCACGTATTCCTAAGGAGTTCAGCTTATTTGTTAGCAGTAAATGGTCAACACGGTCAAATGCCTTAGAAATGTCAAAGTAGATGACAAGTACTAGTTGCCGTCTGTCACGACTGCTGGTTACAAAATTGAAGAAGTCTAGGTGACATGTTAAACATGATCTGGATTTCAGGAATCCATGTTGGTTCGGACTTATAATATTGCAGCTAAGCATATGTTTGATTAAGTTATCTTTGACTAGTCTCTCCATGATTCTAGATGCTATAGGTGTGATATTGATTGGCCGGTAGTTACTGACTTCAGTTTTCGAGCCAGATTTGTGTTTAGGCATAATGAATGTTGTCTTCCATATGTCAGGGTAAGTTTGGGTTTCTAGGGACATTGTGAATATTTTAAGCAGCAGTAGAGGAATGTCAGGGCCACCATATTTATAGAAGTAAGATGATATACCGTCGGTACCGAAACCTTTTGAACTTTTGAGGGTTCTTATAGTTTGGTTAATATTAGCGTAAGTGAATTGAACAGTGCTAATTTGGTTTGGTGTGAGTGGAGATGGAGTTTGTGCCATATTAGTAATAGGGTGTATATCGAGTAGCTGGACTGAGGGCTTAAGGTAGTTACCTGCAAACGTTTTGTTGAATAGTTCACATATGTCTGCAGAGTTAGTGCATAGCCTACCTTTGTCTATGAGGAGAGAAATGCTGTGATTTTTGCGATTCATTCGCTTCCTTAAGATTTCTGTGAGTGCATACACTCTAGCAGGACTGGCTACTGCGATGCGTTCTTCCTTTCTCATACGGAAATCTCGAGCTTGTGAGATGGAGCTAAGGGTGTTAAGTATTAGACCTAGAGTGCCAAAGTCGTGGTGTTTGAAGTAACTTGTTGAGAGTCTCTTCAGTTTCGTACGATCCTTTGGTTTTATGAATGACTTTCTGTGTGGGGAAACCTTTAGTGTTTGGAGTGGAATGACAGCATCTAAGCATGTGTTAGAGTTATGGTAGAAGATGGTTAGGGCTCTCGATAGGTCATCAGTAGTGAAGTATTCATCCCATTTGGAGGATCTTAGCATTGATTCTACTAAGGCCCAGTTTGCCTTACTATAGTTCCTATATTTTACTTGTTGTGAAGTGGAGGTATGAGATGCATTGCTACTCAGCGGAATTGGCAGTGCACACATCACTGTTTTGTGGTCGCTCCCTGGAAACTCAGAACCTACTAGCGTTGAAAGGGGGCTTATATTGTGGCAGAAGATTAAGTCTAGTACGTTATTACCTCTTGTGGGAGTAGTGACAGTTTGTTTCCAGCCAAGTATATCCAGTGTGTCTAAGAACTTATCAAATTTAGTTGGGCCTGTGGGTATATCCCAGTTGATTTCAGGTAAGTTAAAGTCCCCACATAGGATCTTATGATCGTATTGTAAGTCGGATAATTGCTCCAGAGTATTAATAAGTTGGGTCTCGTAATTACTAAAGGTGCCAGGTGCTCTGTAGGTGCATCCAATTAATGCTGTTACGTTATTTAAGTGTACATTAACCCATAGAGTCTCAGGCATGTTAAGTGTACTACTTTCTAGCTGTGATACAGTAAGTGCATTCAGAAAGTACATGAGACAACCCCCTCCCTTACCACCTTCCCTGTCACACCGAAAGTGTGTGTAGTTATCTAAGCTTATTTCTTCATCCAGGATGTTCGAATGACACCAAGATTCAGTGATGACAATTACAGGGGGTTTGTATATTACTGTGAGTGCTCTGAGCATCGGCAATTTATTTAGAACAGATCTAGCATTTATGAGGATTACGTAAAGATGAGAGTTGAAGTAGCATTTGAAGTATTTAAGTTCGTTAGTCAGCCCCGAATATGGTTCAGCACCCAGTAGTTCTGCTTGACATGACGATCCTATGTTAAGAGGAGTTTCAGCATCATGCTCACCTATGTCTATCGAGTTGGTGTGTGCTGTTTTCGGTGAAGAATTAGGAGTTGGAGTACTGGATTTGCTATAGACTAAGGAATTTTTATTTTTAGTTAGGTTACAGAAGTGGGTAGGGTTCTTTATTTGACCTATACTTGTGCAAGTGTCAAGTGTGCTTAATGGATACGGGTGCACTAGACCGTTCCTGTTTTCATGCAAGGAGGGAGCCAGCACTAGTGGTTTAGGAGTGTTAACATCCCTACCAGCTGTTTTTTCAACGCTGACAGGGACGCGGGGGATAAAAAATGATTGGATCCTTGTGATGACCATGGCTTATTATTCCACCTATTGTTTGATGCTAGTTGTGTCCTTGTGTGGGTTTCGTGTGTACTGCATTGTGGGTTAGTTCCCAGCAGACTTGTACCATATATCCGGTCAAAATTTGTTTGTGTGCCATACTCTGAAGACCCTGAGTTGTTGGTAGCCGAGTTCTGACTATTACCACTTGTACTATTGAGGGTGACATTGGATATTAGTGTGTGCCATGGTGCGATTTAGCACGTTGTGAGTGCTAATACTATTGACCGTGGGGAGTGTGGGCTTATTTAAGCTGCCACTGTTTTTGTTGGTATGATTTAGGGGCATATTTTCCTTATCTTTACCAATGGAGTTATGGCTAGGAGAGGACAAAGTCGAATTTCGG